AAGGATGTTTTGCTTTAATTCATTGACCAGATGAACAAATATTATCTTTTGTAAGGGGTATGTATAATGTGTGTACACATGTGTATTCATGTGTATGAGTGTAGGTGCATGCATTTCACAGCATGCATGTATGCCTGCTAGCTGGCGGGTGACTCTTGGGGGATCTCCCATCTCTGCCTTCCACCTCACTGTAGGAGTGCTGGTATATTACAGATGCATACTACCATATCTGACCTTATGTATGTTCTGGGGATCCAAATGTAGGTCCTTACTCTTGAACATCTGGCACTTTCACTCACTAAAGCCTACACACTGCATATTTTTCTTTCATGTTCTAGATGACTACTATACATATTTAAGAAGCATGCTACAAAAGCCCCAGCATGTGCATTAAACAGCTTTCATGGAACTTGATGAGGAAATAGTTGTGAACCTGTGTTTTGTTCACTGTGTAATGCCTAGTTGTCTTCCACAAGCATGTGCCTCCCATGTCTGGATCACATCGGTTCTTACCATCTCCCATGCCACATCTAGTGTCAAAAGCAAACAATCAAATGGTGTAGCTCTGCCAACAAACCTTTAAGATGCTGTGACATCGGTCCCAATGTTTTATAATTCCACAATAATAAATGTGTGGTTGATTTACCAAATTACTACAGATTCCAAGTCAGTGACCTTCAGATGTACAATGAAATTTGTTTAAAAACATAAGTAATATTTTTGATGACGCTGAAATTTTTTTATGTTTTGCTTCGCAACACTAATTTAAACTGACAATATTATAACACGCAAGCAAAAGAAAGGAGAAGACGGTCATAATCATAGAAATACACCTGGAAGACACCACATCACCACTACTGGAAGCTGAGTGGCTCATAACAGGGCAGGAAAGCGGAGGTCGGGGATGTAAAGAAGACTGACAGCAGAAGAGAAAGAGCACAAGGAAAACACTACGAGTTTCACACTTTTAAAGTCAAAGCCTCCTACATTTTAGCAATAAGTTCATTGAAGTGAAAATTTCAGTTGCATCTGAACTTTAAAAGAGAAAAGTTTTGGATCTAGATGTATTAATGAAAAAAAGGCTTGCAGGGCTGGAGAGATGGCTCAGCAGTTAAGAGCTCTGACTGCTCTTGCAGAGGACCCGGATTTGATTCCCAGCACCCACATGGCAGCTAACAACTGTCCCTAACTCCAGTTCTAGTGGATTCAATGCCCTCTTCTGACTTCCACGGGCACTGCATGACACGGGTGCACTTACACACATGCAGGCAATACACTCATACACATGCAATAAAAACAATAAATAAAATTATCTTAATTAGAAAAAGAAAAGAAAAAATGGCTTGCAAAATCTTGAAGTAGTAAAATGACTTCATTCTGAGATGGTGGAGTTCAGTGTTGCTAAACCATTTGCTCATTTGTCCTTTATTTACTCAAGGCTTCACACTTAGTTCCTCTGAGACCCAACAGTATGCCTCAAGGATTCTGTGTTCTATGGGAAAGATTTTTATTAAAAAGTCACACAAATACATAATTAGACTGTAGAACTCTAGATATTCAAATTTTTGTTTTATGTATTTATTAAATTTATCCAAAATAATGCCTTTTCAAAGCTTTGTTTATTGCTACTTATTCAGTTCCATTATTAAAGATGATTGAGCTGATAAAGCATTGGTAATTCATCTTGATTCTGAGCAGAAACATGAATGCCTGCTAAGAGTTCCCATATGCTTTGGAATTTAGTAAGGAAATGTTTAGCTTGACCATGGCTTGCTCTATATTGTCTAAAATTATTTGTTAATCTTTGACAGTTAGGAGATATGAATTTCTTTTCTCAACATTTTATTATATTTAAATATTATATTAATAAAGGGTTGAATTTGGCTGCATTGTAAGTTTCATGAGCATTGAGATGATTATGGCTCAACCCTAACATAATGTAGCTCAGAGAAGAATTGATGCAGGTATATACACAGGATTTTGTTGAATGAATGAACAAATGAACAAATGAATGAATGAGCAGAGAGATGGGTGGGTGAATGGATGAGCAATGAGTGAATGGATGGCAGGATGACTCAATGAATGGATGAATGAATGGGTGGATGGATAGATGAATGAAGAGTGAATATAATACCATTAGGAGATACATATATTTTGCATATTAGCGCCATGTATTTTACTTGCCAACTTCTATGAAATAGCCTAATTACAGTGCAACCAGCTGTTGTAATGATGGGTGTTCCTTTGTACTGTAAATGCTGTTCTACTGCGTACCTGCAACCATGGAAATACACGAAGACAGCACAACACGTTTTTACACAGAAAATTATTTCAAGGACATGCTATGTGGTCGAGCCTTAGCCAGCCTTCTTTACCTAGAGCTTTCATATTTTCACAACCCTTTGAACTTGTGTAGCGCCTAGGGAGGGTGTTACCTACTCAACCTGCAGTACACAAAGACCAGCTAAGGAAAAACTGTTCCTGCCTCTGCCGGTTAAAGTCATAAGAAAAGCCGGCACTCTGAGACTCCAAAATCCAAACCGTAATTCACTATAGTTTCTTCTGGACCTTCCTTATCTTTAAGTTATAGCTTTCTTCTTAATTTTTACTGTTTTAATTTTGTCTCTGTCTCCTTTCTTCTTCCCTTTTCCTACAGGGTAAGCGGCAGTACAGAAAATCAAGGGCAGAGTTGGGTACTTTTTGAGTCATATATATAGGCAGGATCCTAGCAATAAGGTGAACTTGAACATTAACTCATGGATTCCACACATAATAAGAGTCAGACATTAAACTGAATAAGAAGGAGCACTACTCAGGGTTCCCAAACCTCGACTCTAACTGGATGTACAACACAGTAGATATTACATAAAAGGAATCAGAATGGCAATTATTATCAAGGAGTGCTTATACAATATAAACTATCCTAACATGACAGTATTTACTGAATTTGTCCTCAGAGCAGTCATCTGAAATGTGACTGTTC